GGAAGTGAGGGCTGGGTCAGAAGGAGGGGTGCGGTTGAAATAGGGTGGGCTGGGGGCTGGCAGGTGGCGTGGGGGTCAAGGGCGTCCTGGACTCCCCATGGCTGGCCTGCGGGAGTCCAGACCTGGTACCTTGCTCTCTCACTTTCCCTCTCTGTCTCTCTCTGGTCAAATTGGAAAATAATAACAAATAAAGTTAAACAGGGTGGTCTGGAAAGTCCTCTCTAAGGAGGTGACGCAGTGAGTCACACAGCTCTGAGGGAGAAGCCTTTTAGATAAAGGGAACAGCCAGTGCAGAGGCCCCGGGGTGGGAGGTGCCTGGTGTGATGAAGGAACAGCAAGCAGGTCAGTGATCACTGGGGGGGCGGGGCAGGTCATGCCAGGGTCGGAGCCCATGCTAGGTACTTTGCCATTATTCTGGGGAAGGAGGAGCCAGGGGACAGTTACCTCCTCCCTGAGGGTTAAGTCGTTCACCTGTTGGTCCTTACGGAGTTCAGTGACTTCCAGTAGGTTTACGCGCTTTAAGGTGCAGCCATTGGCAGGGTCTGCTCTGAGAATACTTCTGTCCCCCGAGAAAGTTCTCTCATTCTTTCTCTCTCTCTTTTTTTTTGGAGAGGTTTTTGCTATAGGGCACATGCGCTCTCCAGAAAGACAGACAGAAAGTGAGAAATCATCCCCCGAGGGGATGGCCACGCTGCAGTCCCTTCTCCTCCATTCTCCTCTCGGCATCTTGGGTACACACGCACACATGCCTGGTGTGGGTTTAAGTCACTGGGTCTGGGACTCGAACCATGGTTGACTACATGGGAGTTCAGCGATATAGCCAGTATGCTAACTGCTGTCCCTGGCTCTCTTTTTTTAAATGTATATCTGCATTTAATTAAAAATTTTTAAATTTGTTAGAATAATTTTATTTAACTTTATTTATTTATTTTAATTTGACGGGAAAGGAACAGAGCAAGAGAGAGAGAGAAGGAAAGTGAGAAAGCAAGCCACCAGGTCCGGGACTCGAACTGCGGTCTAACATGTGGAAGTCCATCACCCTTAATCACCACGCCACCTGCTGACCCCTGCATTTTAATATTTTTTTTCAGAGGGCAGTTCCAGTCCATAAAGATTCAACACCTTTTTGGTGGAGGGTGAGGGTGAATACCCACAGGTCTAAATTGGGGTGGGGGTGTTCGGTCCTTCCGAGCTTCACGAGTTCGGTTCCTGACTCCCTTGCTATGAGTGGCACAACTCCTACAGTAATGTGGCTTCACATACAGCGTGGGGAGCACACGGGCGTTGAAGACATTTGCTTCGGAGGTGTCCCTGATGGCTGCAGCCTCTACTATGTTTCGGATGACGAACTTCTTAATAGCGTTGTCCTTGGGCACGCACAAGGTGCAGTTCTTGCAGGGAATAGGCTTCTGTCTTTTCTTCTTTTCTTTGTCATCTTGGAAGCGAGGCTCTTGAGCTCTCATTCTCTTCTCTTCTGTGAGTCAGAGAGACCAACACAGTGCCCCAACAGGGCCCCGACACTGCAGTCCACCTGCACTCCAGCCAGCGCACACCGCAGGCACACAGCGGCCTTCTCGGGGAGGCCGGCAGGTGCAAACCGGCACCCTTCCCCGTGAGTCAGCCTCGCAGAGCGTCGAGTCCCACCCCGCCAGCCACT